TCAAGCAATTCTCCTACCTCAGCCACCTGAGTAGCTGGGACTACAGGCACATACCACCACACCCGGCTAATTTTTGTAATTTTAGTAGAGACGGGTTTTCACCATATTGTCCAGGCTGATCTCGAACTCCTGGCCTCAGGTGATCTGTCCACCTTGGCCTCCCAATCCTGGGATTATCACAGCATGAGCCACAGCACCCGGCCTAGGTGTTACGCTGAAAGGAGTGAAAGTTGCAACATGAAAATGATACTAGCAGTTAATATTTCAGAGTTTCCAGTCCCAACATTAAAAAACAAAAAACCTGTAGAAGTGGAAGGGAAGGCCCCCAGAGTTGAGGGGTGCCGTGAGGCCTGTGTTCAGAGGGTGTCTCTGTGGACGCTGAACCCTCCCGGGAGGAGGCTGGATGGTGGAGGGGATGTCTGTGGACCAGGGGCCCAGTGCTTGGGAAGCGCTGCAAGGATGCCAGGGGGACAAGAGGGGCAGGGCACAGTGGAATAGGCAGCAGAAGATTCAGGGTGAGACCAGACAGAGGGGAGGGGGTCCTAGTGGTGGCAACAGAACTTGAATAGCCGCAAACATGAGTCCCAAGCATGAGGCTCTCAAGGCTGGAGGGCAGACCCAGCCGACACCCAGAAGGAAACCACAGGCACAGTCTCCCTGAGGACTTGGAGGGAGAGGTTGGGGTGCATATGTCAAGGGAAGGGAAGGGAGGGAAGATATGGGTGGGCGAGGGCTCAGCGGTGGAGGGAGCCAGGTTGGGGGTGAGCGGAGAGCTCAAGAGTGAAGGAAGCCAACAGAGGGTATCAAGGTTGGGGGGTGCCGGTTTCAGGAGGTGATGTGGTGGACAACAGGGAGGACAGGTCGGGGGGTTGCCTCAGGGTGCCGGCTGAGTCCCAGGCCCTTCCTGATGGGTTTGCATGGAGCTGCTCTGCTGCTCTGGTCCCTCTAAGGAGGGCCTCAGCCTAGGGCACAGCAGAGAAGGTGGGATGGAGACTGCCACCACCCGGATGCCACCCTGACTCACTGTTGGTCTCCCTACAGGTCAGCAGCAGACTAAAGCCACAACTCCAGCCAGGTGAGTGCTGGGCCTCCCTAAGGGGGTGGGGGGTGCAGGTGCGGGCAGGGGGCCACTCCACAGGGAGTGTGCTGCTAAGAACCCCACAAGCCCAGCCTGCCACAAATTCTCCTGAGTTTTTGCCACCACCCACTTAAATCTGATCTCTGAAGCAATTGCCTCGCTTGCCTCGCTGTAATAATCCTGGCCCTGCATCTAAAAACACTTCCCCTCCTGCAGATAGCAGGGCGCCAAGCAGTGACTTCCGACCAACAGGGTGTGGAGAGACGGGATGTGTATTAGCCCCAGAGGATGTGCTGTGAGACCCGCTTGTGAGTACTCCACACTGGCTCCCCATTGGCAAGATACATGGAGAGCATCCTGAGGACCTAAAAAAGGCAGAGCCGCAAGGCAGAAGGAGCCTGGGTCCCTGAATCACCAACTGGAGGAGAGATACCTACCAGAGCCTTCATCCAGGAGCATCCACTCTGCAGTGACACAGGAATGAGGTCTGAACTCCACTGAATTAAATCACTGGCATTCGGGGGCTGTTCATTATAGCAGTGCTAAGAGTTCCTTTGTCTTCCCCAAGGATGGAAAACTACAATTTATTTTGCTTACCATACACCCCTTTTCTCCTCGTCCACATTTTCCAATCTGTACAGTGGCTGTCTTCTCCTATGGCAGGGGTTTTGGGGAATAAACAGTGTGAAACGCTGCTGACACTTCCCTGTGCATCTCCCACGTGGCTGCCAAGTGCCTCTTCCTGCTCTGCAGTATCTGTGTCCAGTCGTGATGCAGGGAGTATCCCCGCTAGTAACAGATGGCGCTCACAGATTTAAGGCAGTTGGAAGCAAGTTTAAGAAGGGAAATCTTTTTTTTTTTTTTTTTGAATGGGGTTTCCCTCCCCCCCCGGCTGGAGTGCAGTGACGCAATCTCAGCTCACTGCAAGCTCCGCCTCCTGGGTTCAAGCCATTCTCGTGCCTCAGCTTCCCAAGTAGTTGGGATTACAGGCGTGCACGCCCACACTCAGCTAATGTTTGTATTTTTTAGTGGTACTGGGGTTTTGCCAAGTTGTCTAGGCTGGTCTCAAACTCCTGGGCTCAAGCAATCCTCCAGCTTCAGTTTCCCAAATAGCTGCAATTACAGGCGTGAGCCACCGTGCCTGGCTGAAAGGTAATCATTAAGGAGTGGGCAGGGCAGGAACACTGTCAGAGATGGTGTGGTGGCCAAGGCTAGTACAGCAAATTGGCTGCTTCCTGTGATTGCACGGGTTGGGGGCTCAGTTCCACAAGGCCGCCCCCGCATCAGATGCCAGTCAAAAGCTCACGTGGTGCCTGTGCTTCTGACACAGGGCTATAAAAACTGAGGTTCCCATGATCCCCTCCTTGGGTTCAGTTAATTTTCTAGAATGGCACCTAGAACTCAGGGAAACCCTTTACTCACATGTGCCCCCTTATAAAGGATATTATAGGGCCTGGCGCCAGGGCTCATGCCTGTGATCTCTGCACTTCGAGAGGCTGAGCGGGGAGGTTTACTTGAGCACAGGAGTTTGAGACCAACCTGGGCAACATAGCAAGACCGTGTCTCAAAATAAAAACATAGGATATTACAAAGGATAGTGATGAACAGTCAGATACAAGAGATACACAGAGAGAGGCCTGGGGGAAGGCGTGCAGAGCTTCCATGTCTTCCCCAAGTGCTGCACCCTCTAGGAAGCTCCATGAGTTCAGTTATCCAGAAGCCCTCTGCATCCCTTTTGGGTTTTTATGGACTTCATTATAGAGGCATGAATGGGCCAGGCACAGTGGCTCCTGCCTGTAACCCCAGCACATTTTGAGGCCGAGGTGGGAGAATCAATTGAGCCCTCAAGCGGCAATTGAGGCCGCAGTGAGTTGTGATTGCACCACTGGACTCCAGCCTGGGTGACAGAGAGAGACACTGTCTCAAAAAAAGACAAAACGAAACAAAACAAAACAAAAAACCTGGCCAATATGGTGAAACTCCATCTCTACTGAAAATGATCGTCGCCTGATCCCCACCCCTTGAAGATGCCTCCACGCCCTCCGTACACATTTGGTCAACACTGACTGCCCGGCACACTGCACTGGGTGACAAGGACCCAAAGCGACACCAGCCAGTGCCCCAGCCCTCAAGCACCTCCCTGTGCAGAAGGAAGACAGCACAGAAAAGGGAAGCGTGGTTGTCACAGAGGCCCAGAGGACTGCCGGCTGATGTCACTGAATGGGGAAGTGGTCGGCCGCACGGGCCCTCGGTTCAGTCCTGATGCCACAGTGGATGTTCATGGGCCATGTGACCTCAGGCCAGGCTGAGAACCCCCCTCAGGGCCTCCGTTTCTTTCTGTATGAATTGAGGACCATAACAGAGATGCTGCCTGCCTCCTGGGATTGTCCAGAGAGTTAAAAGCTCTTTTAAAATGCACCTGCTGGGTTGGGCGCGGTGTCTCACACCTGTAATCCCAGCACTTTGGGAGGCTGAGGCAGGCAGATCATGAGGTCAAGAGGTTGAGACCAGCCTGAACAACATAGTGAAACCCCACCTCTACTAAAAATACAAAAAGTAGCCGGGCATGGTGGCACGTGCCTGTAATCCCAGCTACTCAGGAGGCTGAGGCAGGAGAATCGCTTGAACTTGGGAGGTGGAGTTTGCAGTGAGCCAAGATTGAGCCATTGCACTCCAGCCTGGGTGACAGAGTGAGACTCTTTCAAAAAAATAAAAATAAATAAAATGCACCTGCTGGCGGGGCGTGGTGGCTCACACCTGTAACCTCAGCACTTTGGGAGGCCTAGGAAGGTGTATCACCTCAGGTAAAGAGTTCGAGACCAGCCTGGCCAACATGGCAAAACCCCATCTCTGCTAAAACTACAAAAATTAGTTGGGCATAGTGTTGGGCACCTGTAGTTCCAGCTACTCGGGAGGCTGAGGCAGGAGTATCGCTTGAACCCGGGAGGCAGAGGTTGCAGTGAGCCGAGATGGTGCCACTGCATTGCAGCCTGGGTGACAGAGTGAGACTCTGTCTCAAAATAATAATAATAATGATAATAATAAATAAAATAATAAAACAAAATGCACCTGCCATTCTTTCCATCAGGTATGTCCACGGAAATGAGGGTCATGAGGGAAGCAGTGTATCCTCACAGATCCCCAGAAATGAGAGACACAGCCATGCAGGGCCACTTGGGAAAGCACCAGAGTCCCTCGGGGGGCAGAGAAAGCCAGGGGGAAATGGGGGTGAGACCTTTTGTTATGCTTTCCATGGAAAAGGCAAGGAAGGGTATGCAGGTTTAGGATTGGCTAGTTAGAATAATGTTAGCAGGCTCTGGGGATTAGGGGCTGTCACTTGTTATTTGGTGCCCCGCCCAGGGTGATGAAGGCAGAGAAATACTGCCTCCTGAAAGGGGAGAGGCAGCTAGAAGAGCTGGTTCAGTGTTGGGGCCCTGGATTAGTTGGTTTGCATATGAAAGGCACACTCATCCAGGCGCTGCAGCTCAAGCCTGTAATCCCAGCAGTTTGGGAGGCCGAGGTGGGCAGATCACAAGGTCAGGGACCATCTGGGCCAACATGGTGAATCCCCATCTCTATTAAAAATACAAAAATTAGTTGGGCATGGTGGTGTGCACTTGTAATCCCAGCAACTTGGGAGGCTGAGGCAGGAGAATCGCTTGAACCTGGGAGGTGGAGGTTGCAGTGAGCTGAGGCTGTGCCACTGCACTCCGGCCTGGCAACAGAGCGAGACTCCATTTCGGAAAAAAAAAAGAAAGGGACACTCTCAGAGGGGTCATTTGCTAGCTTTAACAACTGGTTGGCTCTGGCAGGGGCAGTCCCTCTTTCTGGTCTTGGAGGTCCAAGATGCCAGAATATCAGCAATAAGTGGGGCTGGGTGAGGTGGCTCACACCTGTCATCCCAGCACTGAGGGAGGCCAAGGCAGGAGGATTGCTGGAGCCCAGGAGCTAGAGACCAGCCTAGACAACATAGTAAGACCCCACTTCTCAAAAAAAAAAAAAAAAAAAAATTATCCGTGTGTGGTGGTGTGTGCCTGTGGTCTTCACTACTCGGGAGTCTGAGGTCAGTAAATCGCTTCAACCCAGGAGCGATGGTGATCGCGTCCCTACACTCCAGTCTGTGGACACTCTAGTACCTTGAGGATAATACAGCCTGATTACAGAAGCTTTACAGCAACTCTTGAAGTCAGGTATTATAAATCTTCCACCTTCATTCTTCATTTGTAAAGGCCTGTTGGCTATTCTAGGTCCTTTGAGTTACTGTAAGAAAGTTACAATTGGCTTGTGAACTCCACATCTATTGGGATCAGAGGAAAGCAGGAACAGGGTGGGTGCCAAGGAGAGGCAAGGGGCTGGGGCAGGGATGGATGTGGCCAGTGAGGACAGGAGGATACTTGTTGCGGGAATGTGGGGACATCCAAGCAGTGGTTCTCATCATGCCGTGCAGGGTACTCGCCCCCTCCCTGCCCCTGCTCCCCACACACAACTTCCCACCCTCTCCCATGAGCACCTGCGCTAAGGGGCTGCATTTAGGCTCCGCCCACACTGGAATCACGCCCTCCTCCAGGCCCTCCTCCCCCTCCCAGAGCCCTGTCTGAGAGAGAGCCACAGCCCCAGGCTCAGTCCCAGGTCCTGTCACTGCTGTTGGGGGAGGGAGGATGAACAAACCCAGGAGACCTCACATCATCCCAGAGCAGAAATCCTGACACAAAAGGAATCTCCCATGGGGGTTCAGCTGGGTCCAGGGCCTGAAAGTGACATCAATGTGCACCTTGCATCAAAGGAGATCGCACGTGGCAGCACTGGGGCAGAAGACCCTGGGAAGCATGTGCCCTCCAGAGCTACCCAGAGGCTGTTGGCTGTAAGTTCTATGTGGCCCCCACCTTGGACGGCCTGGTAAGCAGGTGACCCTTCAGCCAGGTCCTCAGGCAGGGCGGACAACCCTCTCGAGGCCCTGCCCAGACAGCCAGGGGGCCCCTTGTCCTCTCTTTAGTCCATCTTTCCAGCTGGGACCAGTTCAGTCCAAAGCCCCCATGCCTCCGTTTTCCTGTGGGTTGAATGGGGAGAATGAGGCATTGAGGGCCTGGCTCAGACGGAGGGGTTTCCTGAGCACAGGGGAACATGTTTCCTCCGGCCTGTGAAGGGAGGGAGGGAGGGCTGGCCTGGCTGGCCCTGGGAAGCACAGAGGAGCCTACTGGGGCCAGGGAAGAGACTGAGAAGAGAAGGGAGGCCCGTCCCTGCCTGCTTCTGTCTCAAGAAGGCTGATGCCATTTCCTCTGACGAAATCCTGTCTTCCTGCCCCCACGGCCCCTTAGCTGGAGGGGCCACCTCACCCTGGAGAGGGTGGGCAGAGCCTCCTACGGAGGGAGCCCTGTGGGCCACCAAAGCTCCCCGCTCCAGCGACCACCGCAGGCAAAGGCCAGCAGAAACCCGTTAGAGATGGGCCCAGGATTGTGTGTGGGGTGCCCACTGCTGCTCTGAGCCTTCACTTCCTTCTGTGTCCAAGGAAGCCTCTGGATCAGCCAAGGGCTCAGGTGTGTGGAGGGAATGACCTGAGGTGCTGTATGAAGGGACGGCCTCCTGTCCTGCACTCAGAAGTTGAGGCCCAGAGATTCTGCCCTTCAGCCAGGCCCAGACATCTGGGTAGAGGGGGCTCCAGTCCTGGAACTGTCACTGCAAGTCACATGGCCTGGGGCAGTGCTTCTCGGAGCCCTGTCCCCGCCTGCATAGGATGGGGAGGTCAGAGGGGAGCCTGCAGATCCAGTCTCATGTCTAGGGGGTGAAGGGGTGGCCTCCAGAAGGACCAGTCTGTGTAGGGGACCATCAGCCCCCTCACCCCTTGAGCAAGGTCGTGGTCCCTGCACCAAGGGAAGAGGCCAGCTGGGCCCTGGTGGTGCCTGGGGACTGCATGGAAGTCCCTGCCGGGGAGGGAGAGGGACAGAGGACAAGCTGGGGACTCTGGTGCTTGGGCTGGGATCTGAGCGCCTGTGACCTCCACCGGCTTCCTCCTCCTCCTCCCTGAGGACTGAATCTGGGACACAGAAGGGCAGAGAATCAGGCCTGCCTTTCCTCTCCCTGAAAGAGCCTGTGCTGGCCCTGGGCAGAGAGAAGGATGAGAAGTGAAGCTGAGTGAGGTGGGGCTGCAGGGATCCAGGTGGGAGGGGCCCAGCCAGCCAAGGTCAGGCCCGGCCCCTCAGCAGGAGGACAGGCACTGGGGCCCTTGGGCAGGGCTGACTTGACACTGACCACAAGGGAGGCCCTTTTGCAATAAGAGGAAAAAAACCAGATGGATAAAGGAAGTGCTGGTCACCCTGGAGGTGCACGGGTTTGAGGAAGGCTCCCGGCCCCCACAGCCCACTGCGGAGCCTGAGCCCGGCTCCCCCCACTCACCTCAACCTCCAGGTGGCCCCACCACAGGGCCCCTCTCTGCCTGGACGGCTCTGCTGGTCTCCCCATCCCCTGGAGGAGAGCAAGGCCATGGGCCGGCTCCTGCTGCTGCCCCTGCTGCTGCTGCCTGCATTTCTGCAGCCTGGTGAGTGCCCAGGACCACCCAGATGTGGGCTCTGCCCAAACCACAGGAGGGGCCAACCCGAGACAAAGGTGGGACATCTTGGGGAGGGCCCAGGCTCCCACCACCAGGAAACAAGGGCGGGTCCCACAGGGGCGGGTGCCCCCATCCTCTCTCTCCCATGCCTGAAGAGTGGGAGACCCAGGCCAGAAGTCAGTCCAGCCACCTGTCACACGACTGCCTGTGGCCGAAGGTGCGGGAGGGTCTGGGGTCACCCTCTTTGTGTCTTGCGGTGGCTTCGAGGTCTCTCCCCCACTCTCTCCCTCCCACCTCTAGGTGGCTCCGCGGGATCCAGTCCAAACCGCCCTTATGGGGTCACTCAACCAAAACACCTCTCAGCCCCTGTGGGTGGCTCCGTGGAAATTCCCTTCTCCTTCTATCACCCCTGGGAGTTAGCCACAGCTCCCAACATGAAAATATCCTGGAGACGGGGCGACTTCCACGGGCAGTTCTTCTACAGAACAAGGCCAGCTTTCATTCACAAGGATTACTCGAACCGGCTCTTTCTGAACTGGACAGAGGGTCAGGACCGCGGGCTCCTCAGGATCTGGAACCTGCGGAAGGAGGACCAGTCTGTGTATTTCTGCCGAGTCGAGCTGGACACACGGAGATCAGGGAGGCAGAAGTGGCAGTCCATCGAGGGGACCAAACTCACCATCACCCAGGGTGAGTCCAGCTGCCCCGGCACCTGCCTTGCCCACCGCAGTGAGGTTTTTATGATCACTGGTGACGTCGTCCCTGGCACCTCAGACCCCACTTCTTCTGACGACCCCTAAGTTCTCTCTTTGGCCCCTAACACTTCCTCAGGCCTTTGCCACCTCTCCCCTTTTCTCTTCCCCTTGTCTCCACATCTGATCTGCCGTCCCCTCCAGATCCAGCCCCGCCCCCACTCCTCAGGCCTCAGCATCTGCCAGACCCTCTAATTATCCTTCATTCTTTCTCCAAACTGGGGATCCAGCCTGGCCTCTCTCCATGACCTCCAGGCAGATTTGATCTCTCCAGGGTGTGGCTCACCCGCTCTTTGTCATGTGTCTCTGCCTGGAGTCCCCGTTAGTGCCTCAGGGTGGGCCCCATATCTTGCATCTCTCACAGTCACGAGCTCATCCAGGAACCCCCAGCAGGTGCCCAGTGACTGGCCCTGGGAGCTCTGCAGTCCCTGGGTCAACCTGGGTTCCCATCTGCCTACTTCCTTCTCCCCCTCTGCTTCCCAGAAGTGTCCTTCAGCTCCTCCCTGACCTGTCTCACCTCTTCCCTCACCTGTCATACCCCTCTTCTCCTATATCCATCCTTTACCCTCGCTTTCTCCCCAGCCCCTGCAGCCCCCACTCTCCCTGACAAGCCCCTGGGTTCTTCCAGCCGTTCCCTCTCTGTCCTCCACTCTGGTCTTGCTACTCTGTCCTTACCAACACTAAGGGACGTGTCTGCAGAAGCAAGAGCAGCAGCCCTCATTCACTGAGGCATCATGGCATGGTCCTGGCAAATTGCTTCATGTGCATTGCCCTAGTGAACCCTCACCAAGACTCCTCAATGGCAAGAGGAACTGCTATTCTCTTCAGTTTACAGATAGGGAAACTGAGGCTAACAGAGCCTATATAGCTGCCCAACGTCACACTAGTGGTGCAGATGGGATTTGGAAGGGATGGTGAGGGCGGGGCATAGTGGCTGATGCCTGTAATCCCAGCACTTTGGGAAGCCAAGGTGGGTGGATCACTTGAGGTCAGGAGTTCGAGACTAGCCTGGCCAACATGGCAAAACCTCGTCTCTACTAAACATACAAAAGTTAGCCAGGCATGGTGGCGCATGCCTGTAATCCTAGCTACTCAGGAGGCTGAGGCAGGAGAATCACTTGAACCTGGGAGGCGGAGGTTGAGGTGAGTTGAGATCGAGTCACTGCACACCAGCCTGGGTGACAAAGTGAGACTCTGTCTCAAACAAACAAACAAACAAACACACACACACAATGACAGCGATGGTGAGCTGCAGAGCTTTCTCACCTAACCTCTAGCTACAGGGCCTCGCCTATTGAGTTGACCATAGTGTTCGCCTTGACCTACTTTTGAACCTAGCGATGGGATGTGTTGCACTAATAGATCTTCTGTTTTATTCAGAAAGGGCATCAGGGAAATTTGAGCCTAGGTTTATCTGTCTCCAGATCAGTGGGGCGAGGGGAGTTTCTCCCAGGCCCAGGCAGGAAGGGGGTGCATTGTCTGTAGAAAATGTTTTAGGAAACTAATCTTTGGCCAGGTGGGTTTATTTTTTCTAATCACTTGCACTGGCAACCCTAAACAATGCCAGGGATAAATTACTCTTCCCTGCAGGGACAGACACTCTCGCTGCCCGTGCCCTGGTAAACCACCACACCATCTTAACCATTGTGTTGGTTTTGGAGCAGATGGAGAGCGGCTCCATAATCCAAATGAAGCAAGACAGCCTTGAACTTTGATTTCCTACATATTTCCTTAAATGGCCTTTTCTGAGAGATTTGGGTTTTTCTCAGGCCTTCTCTTCCTCTTTCTTTAATTCCTGCTTGCTTTTCTCACTTCTCTGCATAGGTCAGAGTTGTAGTTTTTTTCATTAATAAATTTTTTTTTTTTTTTTGAGACAGAGTCTCGCTCTGTCACCCAGGCTGGAATGCAGTGGCTGGATCTCAGCTCACTGCAAGCTCCGCCTCCCGGGTTTACGCCATTCTCCTGCCTCAGCCTCCCAAGTAGCTGGGACTACAGGCGCCCGCCACCTCGCCTGGCTAGTTTTTTGTATTTTTTAGTAGAGAGGGGTTTTCACCGTGTTAGCCAGCATGGTCTCGATCTCCTGAGCTCATGATCCGCCCATCTCGGCCTCCCAAAGTGCTGGGATTACAGGCTTGAGCCACCGCACCCGGCTATAAATTGTATTTTTAATTAATTCAATTAGTTGATATTCATGCTTATTATAAAAAAACAAAATACAGGAAAATAATAAAAAGAGAAAAATGTTTTTGTTTTTGTTTTTGTTTTTTTTGAGACAAAGTGTTGCTCTGTCACCCAGGCTGGAGTGCAATGGCACGATCTTGGCTCACTCCAACCTCTACCTCCCAGGTTCAAGCGATTCTTCCGCCTCAGCCTCCGAGTAGCTAGAATTACAGGCACCCGCCATCATGCCAGGCTAGTTTTTTTATTTTTGTAGAGACAGGGTTTCACTGTGTTAGCCAGGCTGCTCTTGAACTCCTGACCTCGGATGATCTGCCCGCCTTGGCTTCCCAAAGTGCTGGGATTACAGGCGTGAGTCACCTTGCCCTGCCTTTTTTTTTAGACAGGGTCTCGCTCTGTCACCCAGGGAGTATGATCATGGCTTACTGCAGTGTTGATCTCCCAGGCTCAAGTGATTCTCTTGCCTTAGCCTCCCAAATAGCTGGGACTACAGGCATGCACCACCACACCTGGCTAATTTTTGTATTTTTTTTTTTTTGTAGTCATGGAATTTTGCTATGTTGCCCAGGCTGGTCTCAAACTCCTGAGCTCAAGTGATCCACCCACCTTGGCCTTCCAAAGTGCTTTGGCCTTGCCAAAGTGTGTCTGGCAAAAAAATCCAACTGAAGTACCATCATGCTAAGTAAGATATAACAAACTAAAGGAGTATTTGTAGCAGATATAAACTAAGTTTGTTGTTGGCTTATTAATGTTTTCTACGTAATTTTACTTTTGTAACCAAACCTAATTGTGTTCTTTGTCACTTTTCTGTTTTATTTCTAAGCACAAAAATCCCAATTTCCACTAAAAGTTGAAAATATTGGCCAGACACAATGGCTCACGCCTGTAATCCCAGCACTTTGGGAGGCTGAGGTGGTGGATCACCTGAGGTCAGGAATTCGAAACCAGCCTGGCCAACATGGTGAAACCCCGTCTCTACTAAAAATACAAAAATTAGTCTGGTGTGGTGGTGCATGCCTGCAGTCCCAGCTACTCAGGAGGCTGAGGCAGGAGAATTGCTTGAACCTGGGAGCCAGAGGAGGTTTCAGTGAGCCAAGATCCCACCACTGCACTCCAGCCTGAGTGACAGAGCAAGACTCTGTCTCAAAAAACAAAACAAAACAAAACAAAACAATTTATATTTAAATTCTTAATTAAAAAAATTGTATGTAGTGAGAATTTATTTTGATATATGGCATAAACAACTAAATTGATCTTTATATGAAGTAATTAATCAGTTGTCCCAACCCCATTTACTGCATTTTTATCTGCTTCTCTATTGATACATTAGGCTTGGTTTTAAAATTATTTTTATAGAAGAGCATCTGTTTCTGGTCAGTCAATTCTGTTTCACTGATCTGTCTTTTCTTACATCAGCACACAGGTTTAGTGATTGTAGCTTTACCACGTTTCAATGCCTAAGACGATTTCCATCTCAAACATATTACTCCTTCCTCAAAAACTTTTTTAGGCTGGGCGCAGTGGCTTCATGCCTGTAATCGCAGCACTTTAGGAGGCTGAGGCACGAAGATTACTTGAGCCCAAGAGTTTGAGACTTAACATGGGCAACATAGTGAGACCCCATCTCTACCAAAAAAAAAAAAAAAAAATTAGCCAGTTGTGGTAGTGCAAACCTATGGTCCCAGCTACTCAGGAGGCTGAGACAGGAGCATTGCTTGAGGCCAGGAGGTTGGGCCTGCAATGAGCTGTGATTTCACAACTGCACTCCAGCCTGAGTGACAGAGCAAGACCCTGTCTTAAAAAACAAAGCAAAACAAAAAATATTTTTCTGTTGTTGCCTGCCTGTTCCTTCCCCACTGTTAGAATAACTTTATCCAGTTTAGGGGAAAAAAACAAAAACAAAAAACACAACACTCTTTTTTTTTTTTTTTTTTTTTGAGACGGAGTCTGGCTCTGTCGCCCGGGCTGGAGTGCAGTGGCCGGATCTCAGCTCACTGCAAGCTCCGCCCCCCGGGTTTACGCCATTCTCCTGCCTCAGCCTCCCGAGTAGCTGGGACTACAGGCGCCCGCCGCCTCGCCCGGCTAGTTTTTTGTATTTTTTAGTAGAGACGGGGTTTCACCGTGTTCGCCAGGATGGTCTCGATCTCCTGACCTCGTGATCCGCCCGTCTCGGCCTCCCAAAGTGCTGGGATTACAGGCTTGAGCCACCGCGCCCGGCCCACAACACTCTTTTAAGTCACAGTTGCATTAAACCTATAATGCAATTGACAGAAACCAAAATCAGGCTCATACACAATCTTCTCACCCAGGAACAAGGACCTATTTTATATCCCTCAGTAAACCTTGGTAGTGTTCTGCCAAAGAGCATTTAAATGTCTCATAAGATTGTTTAACTGTCTGTAGTGAGCCGAGATCACGCCACTGCACTCCAGCCTGGGTGACAGCCAGATCCTGTCTCGGGAAAAAAAAAGATTTTTTTACCCTCTATATTTCCTTTTGTTATTAATATACAAGATTACTTTTTGAATCCTTAATAATTGTTATTGTAAAAGTAATGCATAGGTGGCCGGGCACCCAGTGGCTTATACCTGTAAACTCAGTACTTTGGGAGGCTGAGGTGGGCAGATCACAAGGTCAGGAGATCGAGACCATCCTGGCTAACACGGTGAAACCCTGTCTCTGCTAAAAGTACAAAAAAATTAGCTGGGTGTGGTGGCAAGTGCCTGTAGTCCCAGCTACTCAGGAGGCTGAGGCGGAAGA